TTAAAGTAAAAATCATTACATTGAACAGTTGACCAAGTGGACAAGACCATAGAAGGAGCTGTCATTATAAACACAATCACCAACTGAAGATACCATTTAAATCAGTTGAATACACAGCAATTTAAACAATCGAATGAAACCAATAGTTTCGTTACAGCCCTAGAACTTACTTGGAACAACTCATAATTTATTTGTGAAAACAACTCTCTTGCACAACTTGTCCTGTAGTTGACTGCGGTATAGTAGTAAATAGTGGTTATGCTATCTAGAGTCTTGAAAAGATATGGCGACAGTAATGGGGAAAGTGTATACTGTAGGCGTCTGATTTAGAGGCACGGACAAGGAGCCAGAGTCTTGCTTTTCTTCTGTAGCCTGGAAAGTATGCCAGACACAGCCAGTGAATTCTCAGGGCAATGTGGGGTTTCATTGACATGCGTAGCGAAGCTGATTCCAGTTTGTAGCTGTTATTAAATTCCACCTGCCCTGTCCAATCCATTTACAGTTGTCAGAGGAGCAAATTTTACAGTCTGGACAAACAGTTTGAAGCCTGCAAATGCCTGAGTTTTCCAGTTACAATAAACAGATCTAACAAGACATACTTCGACAATTCGGCCTGTGCATAAAAACACAGACAATGGCTGGCTTTACCCTTTTGGACGATGCCAGTTCTGAAAGCGTAAATTCTGCTCAGTATCCGCAGAACCTCCCCATGGAGACGAACTGGGACCATAGCATATTCTCTGGGGTTACTATCTTGCCAAATCTATTTTTCCATTTGAACCATTCGCTGAGCACTACATACAAGAGTTGTTTTCAGGTCGCAGCGTACAGCTTCTGTTAGTAGCAGGAAACAGAGCAAATCAAATCTTTCTGCCGTATGTTTCCCAACAAGAGCAATTTGTTTCATGTCAGTCATTCCCTCGGCTCAGCCCCACGCTTTCATTCCCTGTGCTCTTTTTTCTTTAGGTTTCACATCCCTTACTCTGAAGAGATGATCATTACAAACGATGAGTGCTATAATTATTATTTGCTATAATTAGCAAATGAAATGAGAGGTGGACACTTTTCAGAGGGTCACAATAGCACTGCCACTCAAGCGACAATTATGTTCAAGGCCTTAATCCTAGAAATATTAACATTTGGTGGATGGTGGAGAGGAAGTGGAACATAGATGGTGATAATGAATCCACTAATTAAGCAAGTGGGTTTTCAAAAATAATTCTCGCATAGACACAGTTTGGTTGGCTAAGGGCTATAAATAGCGAAATAAAACCAACTGGATCAACTTTATAAGCCATGGATGGCACCGTGTCAGTCAACTACAATGCTGCAAAGCAGGGTAAGGCACTTTCCTCCTGAAAGCAAGAAAGCAGAAAAACATGATATGGGCAAAATTTGTGTTATGTTATTCACTCTGCTTTCAATTCAGTGTGTCTGCTACAGCAGCAACTTGGTTGTCCATTGTTGCCAGTTGCTGTACAAATGCATCATGTGCACAGACCCTAACTGTTCAGAGGGGTTTGTTATTATAGAAATCAGCTTGCTAAACCTCTCAGTGTTTGATTATTCAACGGAAATCCAACAATCCTGTCTTTGCATCAAATAGGACCTATTTAATAGGTGAACCTAGGATTGCATGAGGTATGACTGCATTATCTGGTAAATGGGTGAATCATCTTTGTTCTAGATGATACAGCCCTTAGAATTTAGTCTAATTTATATTTTAATGTATATTGATTGGTATATGGTTTCATAATTGAACTAGTTTGATATGGAAAAGGAATTTCAAAGATTAGCATGGCTTGTTGCTGTTTTACATATCAATTTTGTGTTTTTGGAATCAACAGGAGAGATACAAAAAAACCCATTGAGCTGTTTATCTTCATAGAAATTTTTAGCAGACTGGATTCATATGCCACCATAAAGGCTCAAGCATCTAGGAAAGGAAGCAACAGGTCTGTAGAGAGCCAGTAGGTAAGTATATTATGAGCAGAGACTTCTGTGGAAGGGAGTATAAATAATGCTATATATCACTACTGCAAAATGCAACCCAGAAAGAGCCATGCTCACATCTTATAAACCTGCATTCATAAAATAGCTAGTTATTGTTTAATTCAAAATCTCTCTCTTAGGTAATCAGAGGTGGGTGGACTATTACTCAATTACTGGAGACACAGATTAAGCCTGTGCTTATTCAGTAAGTCTTATATGCAGAAGAAGCCTACTGTGATATCATAATTAATGGTAATGCTTTTATGCAAAGAGGGTTAGGGTCCATTTACCAACTTTGTGGTTCTAAAGTATTTCAAGGCGCAAACAGCTTCATGATCCACTACCTGGAGACAGAGTTAGGAAATCAGATATGATTTAATTAACAAGATTGCCAGCCACACTAGATTTGAGTGAAAGACATGGCTGTTGGAAAGTATACACACGGTAATATGTAGAATGGCCAAGGTGGACCTTTGGGGTTTTTTTTAGGTTACTTGCTATTTTTGACAAATGAGACTGTCTGCATTCATTTCTGCAGGTGTTGCAAGGCTAGGCTTTTGTTTTGCTTTGCTTTGGATGTTGTTTTCCTGGCAATTCAAACATCGGGCTAAATGTTGAAAATATAATGTGACTCTAATTAATGCAGTTATGCTGAAGGTACACCCAGGCAAAAGAAAATATAATTTAACCTGTAATGACAACATTTCCAACTGTATATTAAAGCCCTGATTCTGCACACCCTTCCTTAAAAAAAATGATATCTGTTATTATGATAGTATATTCTAGCATATGCCAAACAAGGTTTTCACACGGGAGGTAAGGGTAACAGTAAAAGAGGTACAGAAAGCTTCTTTCACTGGCTCATTGGTGTCTGGATTCTGATTTTTATCCCAGTTTAAATTGTGGATAAGTATTCAAGAGCCAAATTCTCCAACCTTTTAAGCCACCTGTGTTTACCTCTGTGTTTACCTCTGCTTCAGCCCCTGACCGATTGGGGCAGCTTTGGGACAGTGCTAGGTTGCGCCTTAGCTGCCCTATGGCTCTAGAAGGCCATTCGAATAGCCAGAGTCCAGTGGTGCTCTCGCCGTGCTGCTTTCCTAGATCACCGCGTGAGGGGTCACAGGCTGCAGAGGGGGGAAAGGTGCAAGGGGGTAAAGGAGTTATCGAGAATCACTGTGCTGTTGCATGCCAAGTGGCTGACTTTCCTCCAGTTTGAGCCCTTTACGTTGGCTCAAAGGGCCTGTATCCAAATGGAGAGGAACAGGCACAAACATGGGTGTCAGCAAGGTCAGCTCGACTCTGAATGGAACAAATTGCCAGTATAATTTTGTTTTCTCCGCCGCACAGGATGCTTGAAAATAGTTTGTCTTCCCACAGTTACATTAAGAGATTCCCAAGTCCTCCTACTTGAAGACACGAGCCTTCTGTACACAGCTTCTCTGACATTTACACACATTACCGACATCCACATTCTTCTGAAACAAACACAACAAGAACAATTTGTTCTGCCTTGCATTTAATTTGAGCATCTCATTTGAACGAGGTGGGGGGGAAGGGCACCTTTACATATCTATGTTTTTTTTCTTTAAAACTTTAAATTGCTCCAGCTGGGACGTTTAGATGACTGTATTGGACCAAGAAGGGATTGTGGTGCCTGAGCTCCATATACATTGGATGGGGGGTCAGACAGAAGTTACCACGTGGTGCCTCTTCTCCCACAATTGACAGCATGCAATCTGCTCCTGAAAGGAAGCTCTTAAGCCTGTTTTTTCAGGAGAAACATATATGCATGCACTGTAGAGGAGGGCAGGGATTACTCTTTTCTTTCATAGAAGGTAGAGGTGGTGTCCTTTTGTCATAGGATACTGTTGCTAAAATATTCATGCAGTATACCGAAGACTCTTGTTTGGGATTCAAACCTACACATCCCACCTTCCAGCTCTCCCCCTCACTGGCCTCATAAACCCTTAACCCTTTTCTACGACTAGAGGAATTGCAGAGCAACTGTAGTTGGACGTTCTCCAAGAGGAGGTAGACCGAGGAACTTTGGTTCACCACTTGGATTAACCGGGGTCTCTAGCTGCTGTGTTACTCTGTCCTATGAAGACTAAGGTGCCTCTTAGCTTTCAGCACAGAAGAACGACTTTGGGTACCCAGTAAATCTTTCTGTCAAACCTCAGGCACCCAAGGGTTTCAGGCACCGCTGGAGCCAAGCAGCAGTTAGATAGAAGGGTTCAAGATTGCAATTTTGCACTTAAGTATCTACTTTACATCTTAGACAAATAAATGCCTTTTTGGATCTGGTCTTTGCATTTACTTCAAGGAGAATATCATGCAAAAAAAAAAAAAAAAAAAAAAAAAAAAAAAAAAA